GAAGATCTCCATGAAGTGATGTGGAGTGATTGCTAGGGTATATATAATATTATTAAATGATAATAGTAAAATGCAAACACGAATCTATACCATGTTATTATTCTTGTAAACAAGCAGGGGAGATTCCTCAAACAAACAAACAAAACTGGGTGTGTAAACCAGAGTTCCCTGGGAAGGGTAAGTGGGAGGGAGTTGTTGAGGGAGGGGCATGGAGACAGGAGAGGGGATTAGACATGTGTCACACATGTCCCCTTTCTGAGTACACCTTTACCGCTTGTGTATATTTGTGTCTTTGGGGACTGTATTAATATGACGCACATCCTATTCAAATAAATACCTGAAATCAACAAAGGTAAGAGAAATCTAGATGGAGTACAAACAGAAGAAAAAGAAACTAAATGTACTACAAATGAATGAAAAAATAACCAGGGGAATGATTGGGATAGAAAGTACAAATGTAAGTAACATTGCAATTCATTCTTTTGACTATTGTCAGTAGGCCTCAAGACAATGGAACTGTGAATAAAAATAGTACTTGAGTGAGTAGCTCTGATTTCTCAGTGGTATGGGTATGTGTGTGTGCACAGTTTCCTTTCTTCTTCCCCAGCGATGGCTCCATAGGATTTTCTACATGAGTTTAGAACAAGGGGTCTGTGCGGCCTGACAGGAAGCGCAGTTCCAAGGCCACCCCTGTCCACCACATGACCTGTGGCCTCTGCCAGCTCCATCTGCTGTGCTTCTGAATAAATACACCCGGGAGCATTCATTGGTCTTTCCTAGAAATTATACAAGGTTTAAAAATGAAATTCTCAGCATATTATTGCGGTACAGATGTTTAGGTTACATATATCGCCTTTGCCCCACCTGAAAATAAAAAATTAAAAAAATATTTTAAAAAGTAATTCTCTCTTTTTCTTGGTTGTCTTCCTTCTCTTTCATTATGTTTAAACTTACCATGTAGCAAAGTCTCTATGTCAGAGGTGGGGCGCAATACATATTTGTGCAAAAATGGATAAAAAGGAAGTGGTGTTTCATCTTTCCAAAAGAAACTCTGGAATCGGAGAGAATCTAGGTGAGCACTGAGCTAGTCTCTCCAATGATTTATGTGAGTCCATTTGTGGTGACAAATGGACATATGTGAGGGACCCTTGCCAGGCCCCAAATAATGCAGCATGATGCCCTGGTTCTTATGGAACCAGCAAGCAAAGTAGCCAACAAAGACACTGCTCTCATCCTTCATAACTTGTATTCAAAACAGATTTAAAGCAAAAATGTTTACCTTTCTATATATGAGTTTAAAGCTACACAAAATTACAGTATGTATTTGGTTTAGAAAAAATAGAAAAGGATGGGATGGGCCCCCTGCATAATACACTACAGGCACCCCCATCCGTGGTGAGATTACTAAATGGAATGATGTTTATGTCTAACCATAAAGGAAGACTTGAAACCAAGTTTCCCTGTGCAGCCATCAGTCCTGCTCTCCAAGGAACCCCCCATGGGAGTTGAGGGGACAGTGGGACAGACAGGAGGAAACTTGCCCACCAATTATGACTGGGAGAGAACAAAAGACACATGGTATAAGTCCAAACTGACTGTGTCACTGTGGACGCAAAGTCTGAGGACTCCGCAGTCACTGCATTGCTAATTAGAGTGTTGTGCAGCAAAACATACTGTAGCCTCCACAACGACTGGATCCCAGACATGGTGTGGAAATCCCAATTCCTAGACCATTG